CTAATAGCGTGCATTCACGGTAGAAGTGAAGATAGATCATGTGTCATTAAGTTTCTCATTTCTTAAAAAGCTACGTACATCTGGTACGTGCAGAGAAGGATGTTTTAATGAATTTATGTCGGTACAATTAATTTTCCTAATAACAAATTGTAAGATATCTATGAAAATGTAAAATTTGTGGAAATATTCGCAAAATCTATTTTGGTAGTTCGTCGTACTCTACATATAAACGCGTGACCCATATAATAATCCACTGTAACTTAAATAATGCAATTTTAACATGTTTTTATATCTTGTATAATAAAACTAATGAAATGGCAGGATTTTATGATACACATAATTTATAAATAACATTAAAAACAACCCTTTTAATTATATTCTACGCAATTCTACACTAACACAAGGTGTTATAAACATAATATTTTCAATTTCAGTCTTAAAATGAAAGTATCTTATAGCTATTAAGTATTTTCCTACAATTGTAATATTTAATTTATAATAATTATGTATTTTAATCGATTCGTTACATAAAAACAATAAGCATTCAGGAATCAATAACTTATTATAATAAACAAAATCAAATTCATACTGAACGTACACGCATTGATTAAACAAATTCATATTTCGAATTTCTAACAACCATAAAGAGTATAATAAATTGTTTTCTCGAATTTGTGAGAAGCTATGCGGAATAAATAGTACGCGTGCAAAATAAATACAACTATTAATTGTCAGTAACGTTATTGACACGTGAAATTAACTTCTCAGGCAATATTACCTATGACTGATTAATCGGATTTTATTCTACACGCTCTGTGCACCATGCAACGCAATTTGACCGAAAGTTTTAATACAAAAGCAGACTCTCGCTGCTGAACGTATTCGTTTTACATATACCTATAGCGAGAGATTGTTTCATTCGCACGTTAACGTTACTGACATATACAGTGTAGAAATTATCGTCGCTCGAATGAAGCAGAGGTGATTTGGTACGTGACAATAAGTTGAAATTGGAATGAAACTTTTCCATGCGATGCTTGATTTGTGAAAAATATTTGATTAACATGTCCATCAGTTGTTTAGCATTCCTACTTGCTAACAATAATGATGATACACAGTCGCGTATTTAATGATTTTTTACAAAATATAAACGTATAATTTTGTATTAATTTACTTGAAATAATCTAATTCGACATTGAATTTCTCAAAAGATACTCTACATTGATAAATTTGATTCGATTTGAATACAGAACTTAATTCATTGTCTTTTTAAAATATATTTACCATTTACTTAACATTAAAATATAGATAAAATAAAAATATGTAAATAAATCAATAGAAACATATAGTTTTAGATGATTCTTCTTATATCCTTGATATAAAAATGGAATACTTTAAAATAACGGGAAATGTTTAAATTTAAAATGGATTTATAATTGAATAAACTCGGAGAATTCATTTTTAGATCTAATGTACAGTAGATTCATCAATATATGCGTATTATACACATATTTGATTCTCTTTATCAGACAATGACGAATATAACAGCAATATATTGAAGCGATATTAAATAATAATATCCCCTCTGTCTTCCTCACTTTTTATTTTGCAGCAATATCCTTTAAACGGAACACAGTATTTGAGCGAATTCGTACTAACTCAACAGACACTATAATAATAAAGTGCAGTGTCATATTAATTTTTTCAAAATCTTTCTCCATACGTAATATAATTTCCATTACACCCTGGATATGCTAATATAATAGAACAGTCAGACACACCTACCCGGTAGATAGATTGTTATCTGCTGCGTTCATTATGATTACTCTTACATGACATGTCTTGTCTAGACATTTATTTTTTACTTCCAATTACACCGCAATGCTCCGCAGACACGAAGTGTTAATTAGACAGCTGCGGAACTTAAATAATTACGATTGAATCTAACACGACAATGAACATTGGCAGTAAGTATTCAAGCTTGACCGCTTAATCGAAACATTGTATAGTAAGTCCGAGATACTTCGACCACAAGAAAAGATTTTGAGGCACAAGAATCATCGCGTCTACTCATACTATCACATTAAAGCAATTGTTCATATTATACAATGAATTCGTTGTCATAAATCGTTTTGCTAACAGTCATCGCGAATATATTTTATTAAATACAGTATCATTAATTTTGTGAAGTATTTAAGAAACGCATGGAAGAAGTCGGCTTAATTTTTTCAATGCTGTTTTTCATTGCGATACTAGATGAAAGCTCTATAATTAATTTATGTCAACGTGAAACATAAATGTGTAATTAATTTAGTTTTCTTCGCGTAGAATACGAAATCATAGTAATCACAGATACATGACGTTAGTATCGAAATTGGTTATTCCGCGGAAAATAAATAACGAATCAAATGCGTGAAACGACGATCGAGTTCGGGATTTAGACACGACCTCAAATGGATTAAAAAAATAATCCGCGCGGATTTCATTTTCGCGACTGTACAATTTCCTTTCATCTTTCACGTTACACATGTGATCGATGAACGAACTTGTACAATTTTCCCAGTGCAGTTTCAGATATTTATAAATTATTCTATATAGGTATTCTTATAAATAAAATAGAATTTATTTATATTATATACAATTTGCACAGTTTATCTAAATAAAAGGTAATTTTATTCTTTTACTGCTACACGTTACCATTTTAAAACATGGAGGTCGATGTCGGTATATTTAGAACTCAGAAAGGATATTACTATCATAATTTTCCTCGTACATATGTACTAAATTACTAGGAAGCATACCATTGTCGTTTCTAATAATGCTTGATACCATCAAGATTTACGTTTGATATACACCCTTCCTTGTAGCTGGTGCTTTTTGTTGGACACCAATTACAAATATGATAACTTTAAATAATTAACCACTCTTTACTAATTAATTAAATTTAATCGTGTTTAGTTTCATTGATATCATTGAAATTTGCGTGGAGAAATATATTATTACAGAAACTAAGTTATTCATTTTCACGAACTACATCATAATGTACTGAAGTATATGTATAATGTATTTCTGAATAATATTTATTCTTTTTTGGCATTATTAATATTTCATCGACACATCATCAATAATACTCAATTTTATTCTGACAGTACCGTGCACACTTATATTTTCTTAATCGACTATTTCTTTCTAAATACACGTGGGCATTAATGGCGTAGTACATATTCACGACATAAATACTTCAAACTCAAAAGCAATTCACACTGAACTATTTACACTTATCTTAATCCTTTGCACCTAAAGCTTTCGTATACTCATACTACCAGCCACTCGAAGCAGTTTCAGTTGCACGCAGGACAATTTAACTCGGTTTTGCGTCAATTCGATCGATAAAGTATGTATAAAAGAAATCTGACGCAAAATTGAAATCGTGAATACACATTCGTGGTCCTTAAGCAATTAATGGTTAACCGTGTGAGCGCCGGACGTTACTCTATTCTATTACTTCACCTAAAAGTGTTACCTTATCGGTCCATACAAATTGAGTTTACTTACTTTTCTTTCAATTATTCATTTCTACTTCTTCTTATTGCTTATATACAAACATTATTCATCAGTTTCTGGGTAGCAACGAAAGAAATGCAATCGCTTCGTCTAGTATTCTCTCATCACATTTTTCCAAAGAATCTGTCACTCCTGGCGCTCGAACGGTTGAGAAAACGTGAGGATGCACAACTGTGGAACACATTAGTTTTGATCTTGTAACGAAATAAATTGAACTTTGCAAACAGTTCCCAGTAAAGCTGCTCTAACTGCGAAAGTTCCCGCTTAATCGTCCCCATGACTGACAATCATTGTGAGCCAGTTCCGTCCAGTGACCTACCATAGGTCAGGCACTGTCGTGACGTATCTGGGTCAAAGAACCAGTTCAACAACTTGAAACGATCGCGTCCGACAGACCGTCTGTTGACGCCGGCCGGATGACGTCACTCGTAGCTATTCTCGACGAAGCCGACGCGTTATCCGCGTAGTAGTAAAAATAACGGGCGAGCCGCTTTACAATCGGCCGTGAAACGATAGCCGTTCCAATAGAATCGATTCGATCGAACTCGTACCGTACACTTGCGTTACGGTGTTTAGAAGAATGGCTCCCCTTATCGAATGGTAATCAAAGATCTCTTACTTGATAATGAGAAAGCCGGCCCGCCGGGAGGTTTCCATGCAAATGTTTTATGCAAATATGCTGAACCAATTGTTCTGAACTGCTCTTGAATTCTTCTGGTGATCCTGTGATTCGTGATTAACGGAATGAAGAGGAGGAAGAGATGAAACGGAGCTGGAGGAGACATGGTTCTCTGTTGAATTACTGATTATTATACTTGGAACTAAGTGCAGTAGAATCTCGATTAACCGAGGCACTGTTTTCCGCGATCGTTCAGTGTCTTCGTTATTTACAAACTCAGTATGCACTTCGGATTCGTAGATCATACTTTGTAAATTCTTAGATTGCTTTCGTTTTGACATTTACGCGCGTTAAAAAGTCGTCTTTATTAGTCACTGAAATTATCATTTAACGATATGGATTGAGCATCGAAGAACGGCATCATGAAATAAATATGTAAAATAAAAACTTATTTCTAATTTGACCCGTTGAGTACCCCTCGTTTACGTTATTCTTCTTTGTGGTCCTTTAACCAGTTAACTGTGTTTCACGAGTATTCTCGCCATCTTGAGACCCTAGATATGTAATAATATAGTTTAATTTATAGAAATTCTAGTTTTTTCAATAGTTAATTATTCATATTTTTGGAATAACTGTTTATTTTGCTATAACTGTTGCAACTAAATTCCACGGTCGAGTGGTTAAGGTTTAACGAGTTATTTTCAACATTCATTTTCCAATTGTAATTCGATGATACTGGATCTTTGTTACTGTTCGACCTACCTTGAAAAATCATTAATATAGAGTAAATAATATCGTGTCTGCTCTTTGCTTTCAGAGTTCGAGTCGAATATTACGTGAATGAGAACACGTTCAAGGAACGACTTCAACTGTATTTCATCAAGAACCAACGTTCCAGTAAGTAATTTCAACTCTAACAATCTTGAGTTACTATTAGATGAATTAAACTCTTGCGCGCCCATTCATACGTCTTCGGATAGTTTAGTAAATGCCGACTATAAAATCGAATTGGCCTCATAAACGATGCAATTTTAAGGTATTTATTATTCTACGATGAAGAAACGTAAGGCCTATTACGTGACATAAATATTCTAAAATATTGTTTTTAATTATGCTTCGAGCTGCTTGTAATTATTCCTGAAAAAATTTTCATAATTTCGTTCCTCTGCATTCGTCATTCGTTTTATTTATTTATTCATCCTAATTGCCCGGTGATTATATGTACAGGAAGATATATACCATACATACGTATTGTTCCTCAATTGGAGTTCGACATTTTATAATTAACGAGTGCACACTAATCTATGATACATCCAAATAATAAAAGGATTGGTTTTATAGTATCGTTTTTTGTGTACATTTAAGCGATACCACAAACGGAAGTCAGTAATTCTGAACATTGAATAATGAAAAGTAACGATAATAAGATGTGTTTATAATTATGAACAGAATTCAGGGTAAATTTAAAAATAGTTTGAAATAAATAGAGCGATAAAAATTATTTCCGTGTTTGTTCCGGAACTTAATTACGTGCCACTGTACGCATCGATACGGCATGCATGCTACGCCGTACAGCAATGCGTCAGTAGTTTCATGTATAGAAAGAGTGCAATGTTAAACAGACTTTTTAATAGAACATTGGATTTCCATTTTGTATCGTTATATCTAATAGTATTTAGTACGTCATCACTCCTATTCACTTAATTGCTACGAAAGAAATGTATTTAAAACGGTGAACTCTTTACTTAACACAATTGGGAGAATGATTTTTTTGTATTTATTTGAAATTGTAAATTTGTAAGCTACACAGAACTGTCCTGTAATACTGAACTGTCAAAACGTTCTTCCCTTCGAATCTTAAAATTCACTCTTTCTAATGAAAGACAGGTGTATAAAAATTACTATAAAATAGTTAGCAGTATTCATGCCAAACATAAAGGGTATCATTAATATTATAATCTGGAAACATTGTCAACATGATTGTCAATATGAAATTATAAAAATTTATGAAATGTTAACAAGTTAATGTTATCAATATATATTTCAAAACATTCTTGTTGCGATTTACTGTTTATGCTATCCTCTTATTAAAATCATTTAACCTTCAGCGTTCACTCTACAAAGAAAATCGACTAACATTAGAAATTTTCCGGAACACTGTTCTGAAGACATAGTTAACTCAAGTTGTCAAACTATTAAATTAATTTCTTTGCTAAACTTCGATGCGAGATTACTGGCCTCGTGAAAGGAACGCTCGATGACTGTCACGTTGAAGGATCGCTTACTCTTTATCGACATCTGTCACTCGCCAGCTTTTGATCGCAAAAGAGTTCACAACGCCGGAAATTCCTTTCTAAGATACGTAACCCGTTGCATGCCAGTAACGTAATTTCGGGAAGGCTGTGACATCGTAACATAGACAACCACGCGGATGTCTGTTTGGAAAATGTAATCTTTTGAAGCTGGTAGCACCAACCGATAACGGATACCATGTCGATATTACCCTCGATCTCTCGTAACAGCGTATCGAACATGAAAACATCGATTTCTTACCTGCGGTTTACACCACTGCCATTAAAATAATTTATTCATAGACACCAAGCTTGCCCCTTATAATCGCTAACTTTCTTCGTCAAATTTTCCTCGAATCATGATGTCAAAATTATCGACTTTCCTCTATGTAATCATAGAAAGAACGTCCTGGATACATAGATGTGTCGTTGTTTAGAGAATTTACACAATGGACACGTAACGGAAAATATTTTTATGGCAAAAGGTGTTATGTTCTTTTTTAACCTTTTCGTCCTGAATGGTACACATAGGTACCATGATCATTTTCAATTACCGGAAAGTTAATAATTAAGGGAAAATTGCACCACATGGTGATCTTTACTTATGGCTGACTATATATAAGTGCTAATCAACTGTCAGTACATGTATTTTGGTTGATTAGTCCGCAGTCGTAAGTTTTTGTCTCACAAAATTCGTATTAAGGAAAATGTATATTCAGGGGTGAGAGGGTTAAATTGATAATAACGAAAATTAGAACCATTTTAATAGATAGTATTAGTATTTTAGTTTATAATAAGTAACATATTCATATGTGCATACAATATCTATTCACGATATCAAGTATAACAATACACTATGTATGTTTTGTATTAAACAGTTTCTTCTTTTTGTTTCAGGTCTGAGAATACGATTGGCAAATCTGTTTTTTAAGCTCTTAACATGCTTCTTATACATATTCAGAGTCATCACCGACAGCGATCCAACCTACGCAGCATGGTGAGTTACTAGACCAAGCATAATTGAAATGCACTTCTGATAAACTGTGCACCATTCTTATGTAGATTAAACTGTCGATACTTCTTTGCTTTATTATTCTCTAGACATCACTCTACAACTTTTTTAAATGGAGGTATGTGTGACTTCCTGTAAAGTGTATAAAAATTCCCTGAAATAATGATTAAACGTAAGAAGCAAGGAAAATAATCAAACTCATAAGAATTATCGCATTAAATTTTTCTTAATGGCTGTTAGATAGAAATAACGGTACAGAAAGCTAATCATGTCTCAGTATTTATCAATTTTGTATAAACGTTATTAAAATCAAGAAAATCTGACTAATCAAAGAATTTTAATTTCGCTGAAACTTTGTGTGTACATACGCAAAATGAAATATGCCAGCAACAACTTTTTTGACGGAAATTCACTTTAAGGGAGTAGAATGAACCTTGAAGTTTCCTTCGCTCTACAGTTTTTGAATTTATAACTTTGCAACGATCCGAAGTGAAATAAACTTCCCGAATAATTATTCAGCTCCTCGTACTATAGCAACTTAATGCAAATTTTCTTCGTGGCACGCAATTTTTAAAGGAATACATTGTTTCTCATTTTCTTTTATACAAATGCTTAATATTCATGAAAACATACAAGAATATTGTCCTCTTTAAATACATAACTTATCATAAATTTAACGTAGACGATTATTTTTCGCTGCAAGTGATCTTTTCCACCCCAAAAGAGTGCCAAGCGTATAAATGTATACAACACGAACATTAAAATTTATCCTCTATCTCAGTTATAAAAGAATATTTGAAAATTATAATCACGTAAAAACCTTTAGAACTGATTTCACTCAGCTAAAGTATCTCCCGTTGAAAATAATGTTTCTAACATGTTTCATTAAGCTCCAATACACTCGGATCAGAACTATTGGCTTAATTCATTTGAAAGAAATCCTTTTTATATTCGTATCATCTTTCTACGGTGTTTATTATGAATACAACATATTGTTTTTTAATTTCGTACTGTTTTATCGTGAATATTTCACCGGTACACAACACCGGAAAAATCCCTTCACGGAACAAGAGAGCCATTTTTGCTCGCAATTTGAACCCAACAGTCATGCCAGATTACGATATTTTCCAGAACGACTATCGCGGGCGGAAAATAAAACCGGGATAAGATTTCGCAGCTAAAACGATATTGCATTTTCCCGCCGCAAGTCTCTAAGAACCGTGATACTCTTTAAAGGTTAAGATTTCTAGAAGTCCACAACTGGTCCCTGTCTATTTCCCTAGATCCTTCTCTTATTCGTTGCAAACTATACACTATCCTTTCACTATCACCAAATTTATTGTGTCTTCGTGCGTGATACTTTCCTGATATGCTGCCTTTAGTTTGTTTCGCAGCTTCCCAGTGATTTTATTTTTTTCTTTCCATTAATCTCTTCCTTCTTATTCCTGAATAATATACACACTTACCTTTATTTGCAGTGTTCTCGAAGCTACGTAGAATTATTAATAATTCGCAAATTCTGTCACGTGTACTGCAGATCTTGATGCTAATGTAGATTTCACTATGTTTTACGAAAATAGAAATTAAACGGACAAGTTGTAGGTACAGTTAATATTTTATTAAAGTTTCAATAAATATGTAGGAATAATTGTGGTTCAAAGAACAGTCATAAATATAATATAATCATCAGTTATAAATATTTTAACGTTAATTTTTCTAAGATTTTATGATATTACTTAAGATTTGTTCTAATTACTCTTTATAATCGTATTCTTGTAGGTTGTAATTATTATACAGATTGCGATAATACCATTTCATGAAACAACTTGTCACGAGCGAAACACAAGTAATTATACAGAATACATTCTTTCAGCACTAGTAATTGTTACAATAAGACAATATTACAATTAAAAGATGTTAATTATAAACTAAAGTACAGTGGGAATCGAGTTACAGGATAATTCTCCGTTCATTGAATTAATAATTATTCTAAATTTTCCACTGACAATGTTTGATCAGCAATTTCCGGAACGTCACGTCACCGTTCATTAAAAAACGGTTACCAAGTTCCATTATATCCTTTTCGGTGTTGGAAGCGACTTTAGGAGCTTTTAAAAATTTCGTCCCACCCTTACTCCATGGAACATTATCCGGGAGCTTTTAAAAAATTTCACCGTGTGTTTTCTGCAACTTTTTTCCAGTTATGGTTGCACGCCCGGCAACAAAACCGAGTTCCTCGTGTCCCAGAATCTTACGGAGGAAGAATTTCAGGAGCACCCGACCATCAACTGGGACGCGATTTTATGGGTGAGAAGGCCTCTGGAATTGTGGGTCGTCCAAGTGATCCTGGCAATAGTATCGCTTACGGAAGCCTTGCTACTCGCCTATTTAGGTTACAAGGTACGCATTCCTTTCATTCTTGAAGATATCACTTTATGCATAATACTCGTTTTCGAAATCATGGCCGCTTAAAGTACCGTTGAAAATATCTCGTCCCTTTATACTGCTGCACGGAGATGGAACTGGAGCAAAACGGAATAAAATTTGCACGATTGTAATTCTTAATTACATATTGTTAGCCTTTCGTTGTTTGAGTAATCCCCGGAGTAAAATTTACACGTTCTCTTGGTCGTACCAAAAATACATTCCGAAGGATTTCAGTTAACATACACGAGTTTCATTATCTACGGACGAGGACGTCCACGATATAATACGAAGTCCTTAATTCGAATTTTGAATTTCAGAGTAAATATTGATTTGTCTGGGAATGAATTGTGATTTTCAGGTGATTAATATCGAGGTCCATGTAGATTGCAAACTGTCAATTCATGTATATTTGTTTTAATATTTGCTTGATGAGAAAATCGTCGATTAAAAGAAAATTAAGGGCACAGAAACGGCACTGTTGAACAGAGAAAATGCCATTGGTGATTATTAAGTAATTTATTGATTCTCGGATAGTAGATTTTTATGGTAAGAAAGATCGTGCCGTGTAGAGGAAAGTAGCGGTGTTTATTTCACCAAAATAAATTGGCTTTAATTACGGTTATGAAAATATATTATTTGCATAAACCGCAATTTATTTTCGAACAACCCGGTAATTTGAATAAAATAATTTACATTAAATTATCATGAGCAAGAAGAGATGCGTTGAAAATTTTATCAAATTTATTTTGGAAGTATTTTTGTGTAACATATTCTGGTTCTAGAATCAGAAGAAAATTTTTACTATTATAAAGAAGACTCCGAAGTCTCTGAAAATTTTTCTGTGTGACAATAAAGCAACGAGATATTTCTGCCAGCAATGCTTTAATGTACCTTCACATATATGAACAGTAAGTGTCATTTAAAATCGTACACTTCAATATTCGCAGAAACTTTGTTAATGTAAACTATTATTAAATAATTAAAGTCGATATATCTACATTTAACTTGATGAAACTAAGTTAACATATTCCTGTATAAATTATTTCAACTTTAACTACAAAACGAAAGTGATTTCTAAATAGAATTCTTGTAAGCTTAAAATTGTACGATTTCAATGATGCTTACGACATATATGATATATGTAATTTTTTCCTGTTTTTCTGATGTTCGTTGTCTCTGCATGAGCATCGTTCCGTTCGCTTAATTGCTGTGCATCCTTTGAGTCGATAATTTAACCAGCAAATGAAAGCTGGACGTTCATATTCGGACAGTACGTGCATAGGAACATGTCCGAAAGTTACTGAGCCCGACTCGAAGCTTTTCTGAAGCTGCAGCCAATTTGCCAGCTCCAATGAAACGCTTTTACTTTGGTGCATGAGTTCAAGAATTATAATTCTTTTACTGCGTCATACAAAAATTCACAAAGCGTGCTTCCAACATTGAGGGATATCCTCTAGGAAGTTCTCTCGTACAATGGAGAGCCAGTCAGTATTTTCTCCGAGCTTTGTTTCAAATAAAAAGAAATACCTTTGTTTCAAAACAGTATTATAGTCTTAAAAAAGTTGTATCTTCGACTATATTCTTATTGAATACATTCGTTTCTTTACTTTCCCATATATCCGCTGATTTTAAGAGTAACCAGAGATTATTCTTGATTTTTATTATATTTTTATTACAATATGGTTATTATTACAATCAAAATTGTACGATAGTAAAAATACATTGCAATGTTACACATGAAAACATTTTTCTCGATATACTTATTACGAAACTGGTCACGACACTTTGTGAACTTTTCTGCTGATACTTTCAGCGATGCTTAATGGCGGCGCTTTACTGCTTTTTCAATGTACTTCGTCGTTCTGCAGTTTCATTGAAAATTGTTCGTAATTTTATCAAACATCCAATGAGACGAATGAATTGAATGGATTTCACGAAGGAATAATTTTTCCATTTCACATTTCGACCAGGAAGCCTGTTAAAGAGAAATCGCGCAGAACTGGTGGCATTGCTTTCGGTGAAATATAAAACCAATACAGTAAAAACCTATTACACGTTGCCCGATGTGATAAAAAATTCGACCAAGTCTCAGCCGACTTGTAGGTAATCACACAACGCGGCGAGTTCTATTCGAAAGTTTTCCTCGTTTCACTTCAAAAGTAAACCGGAAAATCTCCGGAAGTCTTATGACGGAGGAGAGAAGTTTGTCTTGCGTGGTTCTTCTAAATTACAATTTCATTTCTAGCTACGAGTTTTCCCCGGCAAAAAGAAAACTTTACATAACACTTTTATATTGTGCTCATTGTTGCAAGGTATCACACCTGAACTGATCGACATCGCACCGTTTATATCTCCCAAAGCATATTATATGAAATTACAGTCATTTCATTGATCGACTATTGCAATTACACTAGCATAATACTGATAAAAAATTATATTACTGTACCTCATTTTCTCTAGTCACCGTGTTTTTAATATTACAATTAAAAGTATCATGTGTTGGATGTAAGCAAGAACATATTGATTTCACTCGTTCTTTTCGCCCTATTTATGAAAACAATTTCAATTATTTAGGTTGCCATGCGAATAATCATTTTATACTAACTTTGCATTCCTTTGCCAATAAAAGAAATATATATATGGTACATACAGTTAGTATTCTAATTAATAATTAGCAATTAGCGTAATTGGGACAATGTTACTTTGACATATAATGAAATTTGTGTATCAAAGAGATACCCCGTGGCATCTCTAAAATGAATAGTCCAGGGGTGTCAAATTTTAATGAGTCGATTGCTTCCTGTGTGCTTGATCTTACAATTAGATAGGATCTGCAACGCCATGTAGCGTGTGTAGCACGCTATTCGCCAATCGAGTATTCCGGCAATCCGATTCGTCACGTTGCAACAACCGACAAATTTGATAAGGCTATGTTCAGAACATGTAACTATGATACTCTAAGCTTCTATAGTACAATTTCCATTCGCCCACTCTAACAATATCGTTAATTTGATTTGTATAGGATGTAAAATTTCGTACTTCATAGATACGAGGTTGAACAAGCAATTTTGTTGTATTTTTAAATGAAGTTTAAAGAAAATGCACACTATGTCAAAGTGGTAATTACGTTGCTTATTTTATTCGGAAAGTCACAATTCTCTTTTAATTTATTTATTTGCATCATTTATTATTACATTATAAAATAAACGTTACACTGAAAAGTAAAATGACCCAACTTGTTCACCAATCGAATGTAATGACTACCACATTTATTCACATATTATAAAAGTAATAATTAAATGCATACATTATTCAGTGGTTTATATTTACTTACTTTTAGTACTTTTATTTTTTGTGTAATGTGTCTTTTAAATGTTTATATCGAATTCACTATTTTATACGTAATTTGATCAATCTTATAGTACGATGTACTATCTTGAACAATTTATGGATTATTCTACGTAAAATTGAATTCTATTGCGAAGAAAACAATTTTAATAGTATTCTTTTTATTCTTCCCACATTTTTCTCCATTATACATTACATAATCTTATTTCCACGTGATTTAATGGCGCCGTGAAAAGTACGATCTCGATATCCTGGTTATTACCATTATTATGACTTCGTCTCTTATCTTTATCGTCCGTGTTATCGTCAATTTTAGTGCCATACGTTTGTACGATACATCAGATAAAGTACGTATTATACTAGCTCGATGCATACGTAAATCATAACTAAATTCTTTTCCTTTCCTTCAAATTTAGATTGAATTAATAGGATGTATAATTAATATCAATCTACTTACATGTCTCCGATTAATATTAAATTCAAATCATCTTATTTTCCAATGAAATTAAAAATAATTTTATCACAACTTAACATAATTATTATAATCTAATAAAAATATTATAATTTCATTTAATTTTCCAATAGTTACGCAGTTTGCAAGCTCCAAACATTTCATCACAAAATGGTAACACGTTGACTGCGAACGGTGGTCACCGACGACCGAAGCTCTCAAATTGCTTGAGAACAATTACTATAAGAAAATTAATATCGAACAAAAGTATTCAGTGACATAAGCAACTAGATAATAATATAATATGACTACTGTAATACCAAATCATTAATAATTCACCTTTGTTGTGAAAGAATGAGTATCACACATAAAAAGTAAGTCAACGTGTTAAGATAGCATTATCGAATGTTTAACAGGAATTAAGACGCGATTACAGTTCCCATTGCCCCTATGCATTTTCAACTTATCAGTAATCATCCAAGACGCGAAAAGCGCTTAATCGAAGAGGTCCCGGTAAACAATCGAACAACAATGCGGTCAGAATCATCGAATGGTCCTCAGCGGAATGATCCGGCATAACGGAGCAATGAGTTAGCGATGCAGCTAGCCAAGAAAATGAGATGACGTGGAATCACACGGTTTCAAAGCTTTCGATCCCACTTGATGATCATGAAGCGGAATACATGAAAGGGCTCGATACCGAAGTGGGCTCTAGTTCTCAGAAATTCGGACGTATACGGTCGAACGCTGAAGCACCCCCGCATAGGCACTTAAGTACGTACATGCAAATAAATGCCCAAACACGGTGAGGAGTCGGTTTCTAGGATTGGCAATCGTGTATTCGAGCCGGGTGCAGGGAATTCAATCCTAGCCCGCGACTAATGATCGTCGAATGGGTTACAGTGACGAGAACCGACGCGCACTCGTGCACATTGCCTCTCATTCCTTCGCCGAGCTTCTCCGCTATTACGTCTTTATCCGTCATTCTCGATTTACGGAGTTCGCTGCTTTACCGAGCATCCAACGTCTAGCAAAGTTAAAGAAGTTCGCGGTCGAGAACTTATCGGCAGGTCGAACACACGTACACTGCCGGTCAAAAGTTTGGAACTACTTGATATGGGACGTCACAAATTTAAAATTATATCTTGAGAATATATAAAGTAAAATAACGAAAATTATATAGTTTTATATATAACACGCATGTCCATGTTCCTTTATCATACACAGCAGTTCTCTAATAAAAGTTGTTTACAAAAAATGGAAGTTTCTCTTCTAACCTTATAGCTACTATACGCCATTGTAGCGGCTTTCGCGTGTATCATCTTTTCGAACGGTACGCCATTATAGCAGCTCAATTCTTTCTCTGTAATCGGTAACTGTACACATTATAGTCTAATGTAACGTAATCGCACAGTGGAAAATTCTATCAGTCTTAATACTAAAACTACCAGACGTGTCAAAATGACCCATTGCCTTCTTCTTGCAGTTATTAAAACGATAACAGATGTTTCTCCGAAAAATTATTAAAGAAATTGGTTTGGTATTACGAACAGTGAATTGTGAATCATTTAAAGTCTCAATAAATGCACTTTTGGAGTTTCTATGCAGAAATTTCGAATAGTCAATTTAACTGCTCGGTAGTTTTAGTGTTAAATCGCAGTGCTAGTTTTATGATACCGTTTCAAATCTTGTCGTATGGAGGTATAACTTCGAGACTAAATCCATCGTTGTTTTTTAGCAACCTTTTCGTTAACTGATGAATTGGTCTCAAACTTTTGATCGACAGTGTATTTACACAGACTGGTTTGGAAGAATAAATGGCGCGAGGAACTCGCGATTACGAGACACAAGAGATGATTCGTACATTGGCGATCTTAAATAGAGAGTAGGGAGTTTGGAGTTAGGTGCTCAGCGTCCCGGAAGGAATACCTGTTTCTGCTTTCACGGTTACAAATGAGAACGTTGAATTTAAATTGGAAGGGTTGGTTGCTCGTTTCATTAATTGCATTGTAACATTTAAATTTTAATTCTTAAGATACTCTTTAATTCTATAATAGAGTTTCTCGTAGATGATGGGATAGTAAATATAAATGGTTAACGTTATATTCTGAATTCCTTTTGATTTATTTTTTTGCAAAGAAACATCTCATATTATTGCAGTTACGATATGTATATTCGGTTACTTTGATTTTAACTTCGTATGTAAAAAGGTAAAAATTCATTGTTCTTAAAATTATAAAAAATGTAAATATGTCCGTGAATGCATACATTTACAGAAGTTTGATCGACTTTAAAGAAAATTATGTTGAAATATCTATTTTAAGCGGTCACTTAGAAGAAAACGTTAATAAGTGGAAAAACATGATTTATTAAGGTATGGCAATTCATATTAATATTTAATACCAAGCACATTGTAATTAATGATAGCTGACCCAGTTACTCAGCCAGTTGTCAACGCAATTATAGGAACAACAACGTCTCACTTGTAAAAAGGCGGAGATTTCTGAATAGAGATTCATTAACTTCCATATTGTTTTCGATAAACTCTCACGTTATAAAAATGAAAAGCTATACTAAGTTTTCGGCACTTTTCACTGAAATTTTACGGGTCTACAAAGGATGAATAACCCGGCGAATGTCCTTTTTCGGTGATAGGATTAATGGAATGAAATTTACGCTTCAAGAGCTAAGGTTTCAGGACGGTTCGCCACGTTTCATAATCGTAAATCTTTTCTATTAGTATAGACTTCAGTTAAAAGTAACGTACGTCACATATATAATACTTAAATCTTGATGCACTTCAATAAAAAAGTATTACCTACAAAAATATATTAATTGTAAAAATATGTAGTAAAAACAATTAAGCGATAACTATCTCTGTTACGAACGAACTTAGAAATGAAGGATGAAAGTTAGTTGTAAATATAGACAATCATGCAAATTAACGATTTTTGGATCAAAGTTTTACAAACATATAAAAATGAAATGCAGATTCTTCATTGTTGAAACTCTGATGAAATTCCAAAATTTGTAATTCTCACATGATACTATCGGAAATGTTTTAAATTTTGATTGCAGATTCCCATTGGTCATAAATCATAAAATTCATAATTTAATCAATCTAATAAAAAATCATATTGGCCGGGTTCCCTTCCTCACTTCATGAAGAAAACGAATAATTTGATTAAAGGTCTTCACTAATAATTGAAGATATAAACAGCTCCAAATAAAAAAATAATAAAACATATTATCACAAAAACCAAGATGTACGCGTACATTGGAATTTGCTCTTTCATATTCGTCTCGTTAACCGTCTTCCAATATTCCCTTGGAAAACGTCTGGAAATCGTGGAAGCTTGGCAGTAGCATGTGACAAAAGTTCGAGGTCTTGACAGCTTCAGTAAGAGGAATCAAAATGGAAACTGTATGCACGATGAATGGTTACAAGTGTGAGATTGGTCTCCGTCGAAGTATGGCACAATTTTTACGGAACTCCCCGCAGGACAGTGTTCAGAATGAGAAGACGGAATCTGAAAAGCACCTAGGGAATTGTGTCAGTATTGGATTCTTGTTCGTTTGACGGAAACGGGACAGTGTGTGGTATATTTGGTACAAGCCCATTATTTATGAAACTCCAATAAAATAATTTGAAAAGGAAACTACTACAACAGATTTTACGAATTGTTTATACTATAATGTTTCCCATAAATAAGCGTATATTAATCGATATTTCTATTATACTTGAATTTTATTTAAACACCTTTATTTTATTCAATAAAAAACATTTACACAGGATTTTATATATATTTAATAGTGAAATGATTATTGATTAAATCGTGAAGTTTACTTGTTATACTTATTTAAATTAATACTGCAAATTTTTAATTGTTATTGTTCTACTGGGTAATTTTCTGTCATTGTAGATTGTTTTTTGCAGACATTTTGATTTAATGTACATACACAAAAAGAACCTGGGGGTATGAGCAATGATAAAAATATTTTTCATAACGAGTATCAAAATATTGATTATCCGATCATCCTGAATATAGTATTCATTTAAAGAATATTATTTATTTAGAAAAATGTTTTTTAGATACGTCTCTTCAACAGAAATTCCTTAATGATTTTTTGATAACTACGTTCACTAAAGATATTGTTTATCCTTTGCTGAAAGTACAAGAAATTCTGTGTTTCGCTATAAATGTATCTACATTTTAAATATTAAATATTTATAAGAAGCAGAAAAGTGGGTAATTTGTTTCGATTTAAAATAAGTAAATAATTTGTATATTTATACAGTTTGATTTGGAGTCTGCTCAGCGAATCTGATCACACATTAAAAAGACAATAAAAGTGATAGTATTTTATAGAATATAATTCCCGACTACAATCATGATATTCATCATACTCGACAGTCGTTTCTTCAACGAACTGTCTCTTCCATCACTTACAATAGTTTCTAAGAAATAAAAATAAAATATTCTAAGCGTGAGAAACGTTGCCAGCAGCAGTCGAATGATTTATCGATTGAAATGCTGCTTCCTACGAAACTGAAACATATTAGTTGAAATCCCGTTAAAAAAATCCATTGCTCCCAATGATACAGATTTTTGCATATTTGCAAATTTATAAAAGTATTTTCCATATTTTGAATGAATATTGAGAGACCGGAAAGGTACGATTTTATTTTCACATATAAAAACCAGGCCCTTCTACACATTCATTCATATGTTTATTAGGAGATTCATTATTCATTAGGAGATGAATGAAATTATGAATGAAATTTCTAGTTCAATCACATAGCAATTTTCTGTAGTGTTTCGTTATCGTAGACTGACACTAGCCGAATATTAGAATATTTTCAATATGCACCAGGACATAGAGCATACTAAGTTCATTTTGTTCAATGGAACATCGTGATTACGGTATTTGTAGATCGCTTGAATTAATGTTTACCGTTTAGCTTGTCAATTTGCAAACTGACGAAGAACGTGGATGTAACATCTGTTGATTCAGGTCAAACTTAGAAATCCATCAACATGACAGAAAGTGCAGGACGACTGTGTGTTCTTTTCTCCGAATCTTCTAACGCACTTTCTATTTTCTTGTAATTGTCGCTGGGTTTGTTGAGCTGTCTTCGTCATGTTCACAGGGAAATGTCTGGCAGCAGTTACTCTCTTTCCACTTCATCTTGGAATTGGTCAACACCATACCATTTACGATCACGGTGAGTTATTTTATAACATAATCCTTCTACGCGATTCGGAAACGGACGCATAATGATTAAAAAAATGATTTTTCAACCGCTTAAATAATTTCGCAGGCAATAAAGTAAATTAGTATATCTTCCGATTCTTTTCTAAATTCCATTACATTAAGGCTCGATAGGAATCTAAAGGGTTTATGTAACTTCGGCACGCGACAGTGAAAGATTCTTAGATAAACCATTATTTCGCCGGACTACGCTACACTATTCACTCTATGTAAGCATTCGTTCCGCTTACAAGTACTATGCAACGCGAGTAGAAAACTTGTTGCTCTGCATCGAGATCAGTTGTGTTCATATATAGATACAGAATTCCACTTCAGTTCTAAAATTATATACATTATGTATATTGCTTGTGATGTGATCACAACATGTGATGACAATTTACTGCATTAATTTCTAATTTATAGTATGCATTATATAAAACATTTTATAATTATCATGCACAAATTACTGTACTTACTTGTTTTATTTTGATATATTAAGATGAACAAAACTTTTTCAAATGTAAAATATATTATGTTTCATTGTCTGCAGATCACAAAGGAAAATATATTTTATGAAATATATGGTAGTGAAATAATTATCGAATAATACTAAGAATTTCCTCTTTGTTCTTTCTTAATTACACAAATAATTTCGGAAATAACATTTCGCTCAGGACAACTCGTTCACGGTTTTAGTTGTACATCGAACTTTACCCGTTAACCTCAATCTCGACAAGAATGTGATGTAACGGCATCAGAGGGTTGCGCTTTGAGATTTAATTCGTTCCATCTCATTAATTTTCTGTCTCGTCTTCAATATTTCAGCGAAATCCCACGTCTTAACATCTTGTAACCAGCTAGAAAACACTTGTACCTCAAGAAATAAATAAATTTACATAATATCCACGTTAATTACTACAGAATCGTTATCAGTTGTACTTTGTTCCTCTTGAATGATATTTCTGCAGGGATTTGTTTGACCTAGAAATTACTTTAAAGATCGATTGCCTTAACAAAGATACCGTTGCATGAAATAATTGTCGTTTTAATTTAAATTAATCATTCGATGGTATTTTTATAAAGCGATGATGGTTTTGTGTATGTTAATATATGAAATAATAAATTGAAAAATAAGAAAATTTAGATAAACATAATCATGTATGTTGATAGATGTTTGCGTTATAATTTCATTTATTTAAACAATACATAGTAACGCTGAAAGAAAATGTCAATTTTCATTTTCAGCTACTTTATCCACCAATGCGAAACCTCTTCATTCCAGTGTTCCTAAACTGTTGGTTGGCAAAGCACTCATTGGAAAATATGTTTGTAAGTAATTGATTCGTTTTATTGATTTTGAGAATGCAGTGTCATAGTGTTTACGTCGCTGCTTATATTCTTGTTTGCAGAATGATTTACACAGAGCTATGCAAAAGTCCCAATCAGCTTTAAGTCAACAACTGATGATTCTTAGTGCTACATTACTGTGCCTTGTCTTTACTAGGTAAGTAAATATTAAATCACACTCATTAACAATCTTGTTCAGAAAATCAACATATGTACATACGAACATTTTGAATTTTTTTTTAATGCGGTGAAGTCACCACTAAAGTCAAGTGTATTTTATAAAAATAAATTATGATACTATAGAAAATTGTGAACATCTATAAAACAGAATAGATACATAAAACTATTGTATTGACATTATTAACCCTTTGCACTCGAAAGGCGACTCCCAGTCACCATTTGATTTGACCGGGTAAAACTATAAAATCTGATATTTAATGTTGACCTTTATATAATGCCTTGATACGTGAAATATTGGAATAAAATAGCTTTGTTCCTCAATGTACTTGTGATTTCCCTTCGAGTTAGTTTCAAGATATATCATATTCGCCTCGTCAAAAAATGTTAAACATTTTTACTGAGAAAATTCCGAGTGCAACGGGTTCAAAAGTAGTGGATCACTTGTTAATGCAACTGATGAAAAAGTTATTTGAGAGTATTAAATTGGAACATTTTTAATGCATTTTCGAGTCATTTATGTTAGTAATTTATGACTCGCCTAATATTTCTTAAATCTCCTTATCAGTAATTAATTTTATATTCCACCTTCTGAGGCACTTAGGAATTTATATGTATAGTACTCACGAATTATAATTCTGCTAGCGTACTAGTAAACTTTTCTTAACCGTCTCGCTGGCCCTATTTTCCTCTATTACTTAAGTTTGTGGAAAGCGTGTATTGCGTAGTTTGCATACAAGCAGCACTGCATTATTTGAATAACGAGGAAAGTTCATCAATTCAAGTAAAATTTCCATTTACAAATTTGTTTCCCCCGCGTGTTACAAACGTGTCCTCGTATAGAAATGTAATTAGCAGTCGAAAATCTAGAATTAACACTAAATCTACCAAATGGGTTAAAATGTCCCTGTGAAATAACCCTTAAAATGGTAACAGACGTTTCCCTAAGAAATTATTAAAGACATTGATTTAGCAATACGCAAACTGAATTTTAAATCAATTAAAGTATCAATAGATGTAGTCTTGGAGTTTCTATAGAGTGCATTTCAAAAAGTCAATTTAACTGCTCGGTAGTTTTAGTGTTATGTCGATTACAATTTTTGGGGTATAAATGTGCTGATAAATGTGATTGGAAATTATACGAGAACGCTATTTTATTACTTTTTCCACTTCGATCTACTTATTTACATGACACAAAGTTTGGAACTATATTACACTGAGTTTGATTGTAATATTATAAACAGTCAATTTACGGGATTCTGCTTTCACACGATTTTGATTTGACACTAGTTATTTTTCTCTTTCCACGTGATTTGTTTGATTTATCACAGTCTAGAAAAATGTCCTCTTCAATACAATATTCAAAAGAATATTAAAAAAGGTCTGTTAGACTTAACCCTTTGCACTCGAAAGGCAACTGTCAATCGCCACTTGATTCAATATACCAGAATTCTACAATTTAACATTTACTATTAAATAATATGGTAAAAAGTTTGAATTCCTGAAATATTCAAATAAAATACTTCCGGTCCATGATTTATATATATTTATATTCATCTATGATTTCTAGTTTATTGTAGTTGTAGAAAATATCACCGACATAATGGACATGGGTGTAATGACGAGTGAGTGTGCGTGAGTGTGTAACATGGACAAATGTTTACGACATCCAAAGTATTCGAGATCATCGATTTTCTAAAATATTGATGTTTGTATACACGTACTATAAATCGATTTTTAATTGCGCTTTCAAGCGTTATACGAATAACTGATGAAAATTGTGTCATTAAAGTAATGTTAATTTAAATAAATCCTCTTTCTTCTACATATACAATATTTCATCGGAAAGCGATGATTATATCCAGAGAAATATCTTTCGAGTGTAAAGGATTAATAAAGCAAGCAACACACGGTAAATCCTTGCATCGTGTCTCTCGTTTGAGAAATGACTTCCGAATAATTTCAAGATTGGCCGCGAGATAGGGGACATCCGGCCGCCCTTGTCGCGACTTCGCTTCGCCGCGACAAGGGCGAGCTTACGAGTACGCTGTTCTAAAACCACACCGTAAATAATGAATCACGACGATCGATGGTGATACCAATCCATCTGCACTAGCCGCCACGATTACTTATTAATGTCTGTCCCACATTACGATCTGGGTCAATCAGCCAAGTTTCGCCCTTTCCCGTTTCCTCGATCCTCGCTTTTCCAACGATATGCGTGCGCCCAGCGCGGCGATCGAAACAATCGAAACGTGGACGAAAATAAATAATCACTTTACCTGTAATTATCGGAACGAAGTCATCGGTCCCATCTAGAAGAGATATATTTCTTTCAATGGAAAGCTCTAATGGAATTCGTAAAGACTTACTTTCCGTGAATGCACTGCTTTCAGTGACATTCGGTAATGATCAAATGAGAATACAAGAGGCTCGTCGTTGATTGCACACAAAAAATAATAAGAAGCGTTAAATGTAGTGTGATTGATTGAATAAAATCAAATTAAAATTTAATGGTTATTAAAATAATATGTGTAACCATATTTTTCGACTGTTCGTTTAAAATGCTTTTCGTAATATTTGAAAATAAAGAGTTTGAGATTTGTAGGAAATTTTTTAGGAAAATAGGATATCTAACACCTAAGCTGTTGATCTGAAATAAAACACAGTGCTGAATCATAAAATAGAATCAAATGAAATCATCTCGCACGAAAAATCTTAGATTATTTCGGTCTAATATAACTTTCTTTGTAGTTTCACGGAGTAGGGGACTTCTTTCAATTGAATGCTGTATATAACTTTTTGAAGTAATAAAGAACTGTCTAATGAAGTTTGGCGGAAAATGGTTTTCGTTTCTATACGAGTAATTGTGTTCATCGACATACGCAATATTAAACTTGACATTTTATTCTATATCTCGATTAATTACTCGAAGTTTCTTCCTTACGAGGAGAGTAGCGCAGATGCGATTTCAGAATTTAGGAAATGCTGAAATAGTATAATTTATGTGGTAGATGAATATAATGACTCTTGGCGAAGATTTAAAATAGAATTTAACAAATATAAATATCGCTTAATTATTCCAAGTCCGAATTGAATATTATTTTTCTATTATTAATCGCAATGTTTCTGAGTAAACGTAGACGTAGAATAAGTGTAAAATTTGTCTCTTTTTCTAATGAATTCTGAACAATAAAATGTCTCTGTTGAGCGCATTTGGGAAAGAAATCATAGAGCAAAGGGTTAAATGACTAAAATATAAATTGCGTTTCAAGTAATTAAATATGTATTTCAAATTTTAATAATATACTTGCACTACGTGACGTACAATACCGTCAATAGTACAATAATAATAGTGATACAATACAGAAAAACATTTTCTGGGAATACATAGGTCCACAGAAGTATCTAAAATCGATGTATGAATGAAACTGAAATTTCTGTATGCATGGTACTTGAGTTGCATCTAAGAATAATGTGTAGACATTTCGTTAAAATTGAGTAACGCACATTTGAAGCGTCCACTTTTATTATAAATATATCAATGTTAAATACTTTCGTAGACCAATGTATTTCTCAATCGCTAGACTCCGTGACATTGTAATTCGTTTTCAGCGCATCGACGAACTCGAGAAACCGTCTAATTGAAAAATATCGCTCTTCGTTGTCGCCATTTAATGAGTCTTTCACTCCATTTAACTTGTTGTCGGTGTCTGATTTTCCAGCACAGATGATATGTTCGATCCAACGACATCCACAGGCATCGATCAAGCGAGTCAACATATGTGACACCGTCGCGAACGAGCGCGACTTAAACGGATTTCCTTCTGTTGGTTTTATTAAGAATGTTCCGTCCTAAATTTACCTTTCGAGGAGACGAGTGAGAACGTTGGAAAGGCTGGGTCGAAGAATTAAAACCGATCAGCTCGAAGATGCGCAGTAACACCCCATTTAACATGTCCTTAAAAAATCAAGCGTTAAATGAAACAGCGTTAAATGAAGTAATCTGAATACGAAAATAGTGGGCATTGACGAAACATAAACAATGAATAGAAAACATTTCACAATAGACATGTACAATAGTACCTCGAACAACCGAGCCGATATTTTACGCGATCTAAATATTCTCTAGAACCTTAGGACTCAATAATTCATATCGTTAGTCAGTACCTCGGAAAATACGCGTATAATAATATTTAAAAACGCATTTTCAAACATTTATTTTCAACAAAATTGTCCGACTCGTTCAATCACTGTATCGTCCCAAAAATAAAATACATTACTAGTTCAATAATGAACAATTTCGTATGAGAATCATTTTCACTGATGATTCGATCTTAACCCTTTACAGGCGAGAATCTTATAAAAACTTGTTAACAAAAAAGCTGAGTTACATATCGAAGTCTTAAACACTAAAAAAAAAACATATCCATCTCTCATTACTTGAACAATTGAACTATTCAATTGTAGCTTTCGAATTTAACACTAGGTTTACGCACACTTGTAGTACAGTTTGTTTTATCGTTCCCAGAACAATTCATGTTCGTTCCTTTTAAATCTCGGGAATCGGAGTCGTAAGAATAGACAATTAACACACATATTCATGCGATCGCATCAATCGACATGGACGTAAACATTTAATAAATAATGTTCGCTCGGTTCAATATCCGTCAAAACGACGTGTTCCGCGAACGTAGCAAAGGGTTAATCCCATCCGAAGTACCCAATAAATCCGAACGATCTCGAGCCCGATGGTATTTGCGAATACGTATCGCGCTGTTGACGTTTGCGTTTGTTGTAGCGCACGCGAGTCCCGAGTTAAGTGGATCACCCCGTATAAACGGGGTTGCATGCATAATGGAAGCACACCGTTTGTGAATGTCGTTCGTTAGAGTGGTTTAATCTTTCAAACGATCCTCCGCCTGCCCGTGATCTTTGCCTCCGCGATGAAAAGATCTTGGAACGGGAGCCTGGATCCTGCAGGAAACAGCTAATTCTGCGATCGGTTTCAACGACTACGGCGGTACGACGCTCCCAGCGAGTCGAATTACCCGCGCATAGATGCCGGCTACTTCAATACCTATCTCACGAGCTTCAATCCTACGGAATGCGATCCCAACAGACAGTTTTCGATTTAATTTCCAGCGTATGCGGGATCCAACACTTCCAGAGGGCGGGGCACAGGCATTTGAATCTGTTTCAAAGTACGTACTACGTGGTGGTCACGTTCTCCACGGTCGGCTACGGGGACTTCGTACCTGACATCTGGCCCTCGCAGCTCTACATGGTGATCATGATCTGTGTCGCTCTCATCGTCCTACCTACGCAGGTATGTACAATAAGTTTCTTACGTCTGCGCCGAGTACCGGCAAACTAAAAGTGTACAGGGACAAAGGTCTATTCGCTATTCTAGGTTTATACTCAAAAAATTCAAAGTGACCTTGATAAAACATAAAAAAAAAGTTGACGAATAACTTTTCATAATCACGTTAAAGCTCTCTTGGAACCATGCGAAAGCTGATAAAAACATTTTCGATCGGACTGCTAATAATAGAGTAATCTCTACTGATCATGATTCGTGATTCACCCTGTATTTTAACACATTGGCAACCGAAAACGAGCTTTCTCGTGCTACGTCTGTAATTTTTGTAACGTACCATTACACAAAAGCAGCTGTCTTACTAAATAAACACAAAAAGGTTCGTTCGAATATACGCATATTAATTTCAACAAATTATCATAGAAAAATCCCATAGAAAATTTTAGCAAAGCATTAGCGGTCAGCAATGCGTTAATTCTTCTCGAACTGTGGTATCATGAACGTTTAGAAAATGCACAGTTAAAAGATAAATCTAGATTCTACAATATTTTATACAATCCGAAAGTGGCAGTTGTTATTTTTTAGGTAGTCTGCATTTACGTTTCAGAAACACCTGAAAATTGTCGTAAAAGTGGAACGTCGAGCGAAAACAGGTCGAGGTAGAATGCTGCCATAAACCGCGACCCTTGCGAAGTACTCCGGACGATCGTCCGATTCTCGGAATCGGTCCCTTAACCCCGCGTTACTCATATGGGGTGCGGTAAACCGCAGTAAATTTACTTCGTGGAACTGCTCGTAAACAGTACTTTTTTCCCTGTCCATGTACATCTGTATAAGTACCTCCCCATTAAAACCACTAGATTGCATCACATTATTTTTCATCAGACTTTAGTGTGTATCACAGTTGTGCGTGGCACAGTGCAAAGTTATTACGTAATGTACTTGTGCTTTCGTTGAATAGTTTTTCTTTTTGAATCTAAATTATTATTCCAATTGAATATTAACACACTGACAGCCACGAAAAACCTCGGCGGTTTCTGCATCATTTATTCCTTTGCAGCAAAGATAGGAAGGAAGAATTATTAATTACTTATTATCACAATTTTTATGTTACGCTATTATCTAGTTATGTAAGTTAACGAATATTTTTATTCGACATCGCTTATCTCACAAATTATAATTCTTTTCCAGTAATTACGAAACTCCGGTCGCCGATGACCATCATGGCAGTCAACGTGTTAATAGATACAACTTAATTTCTTTTCAGTTACAAATTATCGGGAAAACGATTAGGAATAAGCTATCTTACATTGCAGACAATTATATTGTCATTTTAGAACCTCCAAAAATAAATCATGTTTCCACCTTCAAGTAAAATATTAATTAATCACCATACATAATTTACGTTTTTCCATCATTTTGCATCACGAATAAATTTATTGCATTAAAAAGTGTTAACGAGTAATCAGTAAAAATATTACTGAAACAAAAATGTCATGATAAGAAATGTTTACTAGGATACTTTATGTAATCAGAAATGTTTGTTTCTTATATCCCTGATAAGAGATTTGCATTCGTGTTAATGTTTTCACTGAATTCTCGATAATACATAGTTTCTCTGGCCAAGCAGTAACGGTTCGACGATTTAACAACGCTTTTTGCGATGCCTCACAGAAAGAAACCTTCCGAAGGAGAAAGGAAGTATTTGACATTTACTTCCCGCTATTCATGGCTTAGAGAATATTCATCGTACTGAGAATTATTAGTGATATAAAACTTTTATTTCACACTGTGTAGCGTAGAATGAATAGCGACTAGCAGGGAAATCGTAAAACTAATAATAATTCTGTTTAGCCATTGCTTTACAAAGATCGAACGAGATGCTCGCAATGAAAGGGAACATTGATAAGATAATAAGTTACTAAACTACAACAATGTATAAACTTTCTTTGATATTTACAAAATTGCCAAGCATTATAGGTCCAGCAGAATGGTCATCGTAAACTCGTATGCTACCGTTCTTTACACAGTTAACGACATTACTGCAGCGTGTAACCTACCCTTTAAGTTACTATTCATATCGACTGCGGTATATTCCTACATAGTATTGTTTGCTTTCCATTACTTGCCGTTATTACCATAACGTAATAAACTTTTTTAATGGGAAAGAAAATATTGTTGTGATAATTTAAAAAAAAAGAGAGAATATATTCAAATTTATTTGAAGTAAGATGTCGAATTTCTAATTTAGTATTCGCAGATTTTTAGTAATTACTCCACTGAACAATTTTGCTGTCAATTATTCGAGTATTGATACAGTTTCTCAGTAACGCATCACTTAAGCCTATTTTCGTGAAAGCCAATTAGTGCCCATCACTGACATAAGCGTTAATTAAATTGTCCAGCAGGAGAATCGTAATCTAAATATGCTCTCCTACTTGTTGCCCGGGGGTCATTGACTAATGACAGGAGATGGTACCCAATGCCAGCCGCCATACCTCAACGGGGATAGGGTTGACAGTGATAACTATGATATTCATCTGTCAAACCTGTCATTCGCACACGATACACGAATATTCCGCTAACGGAATATTCTTCAGTCACGTACCGGGTGATTCAAGATTCCAAATTTTCTATATAGATTAACCATCAGACGGTCGAAAGATTGACATAAGAATTGTTTATCTATGCGTGACAAAATATTTGTCATATTTTTACGTGAATAATGAAAACTATATTTAAACTATATTTAACAAAGAAAACACAATTTATTTTTTATTTTTGTTTTATTATCAATGGCAAATAATATAAGATCATATGTGATCCAGCTTCACCGGAAGATTATTAAAACTCGATTAAAAACTAAACTTATTAACCCTGTGCATCTGATAAAATTTCTCATTATAAATATTTATTATTTTCTAAAGAAATTGATTATATTTTTTGGAACTGATATAAAGGAAAATCTTGCATTTATTAAGGGATAGAACTAGTTTTCTTCATTGTTTCATGCGTTGATACAGTATATAGAATTTAATATTGAATTTTTAATTTTAAATTCCTTGAATTGATTCTCAGTTGCCCCTCAAATGCGAAGTGTGTTAAAACTAATATTTTTAACATTTATTCCTCTTTGAGAAATTGAACGTTGCCGATGTATTTTTACGACAGTTCGAACAGCTGGCGTTCACGTGGATGGAAAGACAGAAGCTGGGTGGTTCGTATTCTTCGCACCGAGCGCAGAGTGAGAAACACGTGGTAGTTTGTAGCACGACACTGCAAGCAGACACCATCATGGATTTTTTGAACGAGTTTTACGCCCATCCACTGCTACAGGTAAAATACTTGACACAATTAAAATTTGATTTTATTTAACACTATTTTTACTGCTCTTTTAATTATATTAAATTAATGAATACATGTACCACCAAATTAATTGTATCATTGTTATAGGGAAAGTCGAAAGGTCGATTGAGGAAAAATGTTTAAATTCAGAAAATAATTTTAATTAAAAATTTTTATTTTTGCCTTTTGACACCTTCGGTAAAAATAGTGTTAACATAGTATTTCCTCCCTAACGTCGCGTTTCGTCAACCCTCTCATTTCTATTTCGGCACGAGTCCTTGTACGTGACGCGCTGCATAGATTGACTCACACTATAGTATCCATCCCTACATTTCCTCTCGCACGCGGTCGGCGAGACCTTACAGAGAATAAAGATCACGTCTCGTCGAGCTTAAGGGGATAAACTTGTTTGGAGAGGTTACGGTAAATTTTTCAACGTTCTTTTTTTAATGTTGCTATTGGATTAGAAAATAATAAAGTTACAAACTCAAAACTCGGTATGTATATTTACATAGATTTCAAACATATGTAGGAAGATTTGTATATAATTCTGAACACGAAGTCTCTTAACTGATGAATCGAGTGCATTCGAGAGAATCATGGATGTATTTACGAATGATAACGTGAGACAAATTCCGTTCCACGTCTACGCGACCAATCACGTCAGTGATTGTACCCTATCATCCCCCATTATCTTCACAATGGTCCGTTAGACAGCGAATTACGAGCCAATGAGGCTGAAAACGAAATAGCTTCTCCTATTACCGTGCCACGTGACATTACCGAGAGAAAATTGCATTAAGATACACTAAGTATATAAGATGCAGATAATGAATTTCTTCCCTGCCAAGAGGCACACAAATATGTACTTCAATAATCGATTTTACTACAATGCGAATTAATTTTGCCAGATTTTATTGTGGATAATCTTGAATTATTTTTACTGTTCTTACCTTTTTCGTTTAACACGTTCGCTACCAGTGCTTATTTCGGTTACGGTCTCCTCAATTACAATATTTTCTTCAATCCAATCAATGTTTTGAACAAAATATTAGAAAAATGAAACTGAAACGAGTCATTGAATTCCTAAATACAATGTCGTAGTTTATAATTTCTAATAACAATATCTATAGGATTAATTTAATTTTCATTATGTAAAATATAGAATTACGGCCGTCATAAATAATTTACTACAGAAGTACGCTCAGTATTATGAGCTTCGTTCGGTTAAGACCAGAAAACAAAAATTGAGAAAATTAATGTTTTGGCTTGTGAAATGATTATACAATATATTCAGAAGCTATAAAAAGAAGGATTTTCTGAAGTAGAAAAAACGACGAAACAAGTAAATCCTTGAATGACTAAAAAGAATATTATTTATTCTATTAAAATTTACCTAACCTAACCAAGACCTAGAAAAAAACGAAAAAACGAACAAATCCTTTAATAAATATGAAGAATATTATTTATTCTGTTAAAATTTACAAAAATCAGAGAATATCAAAAAATAAACTTAATCGTATTGGTTTCTGAGCGACTCATATTTTATTATGAACTTTTGGAAACAACCCATATGACAGGTAGGAACTAATGAAAAATGACATACACCTATGACAAAGACAAAATGGCAGATTGGTGGTGTTGAGTAGGTATATACATGCGACGAGGATCGTTGTTCCGCGCCTCAGTAGAACGAGGAGAATAGGGGAGGGAGCCGCGTGTGGTTTGCCAGTTGTCAATTCGTCACCCTGATCTGCATTAGATAATTGACACACTGATAGGTTATATGGCATTGCTTTCAAATGTAAGGAGTTTATTGGATTCCACGCTAGAATTGGAGTTGATACAGTAATCATCCAAGTGATAATGTACTGAATATCTCTTTTAAATAAGGAATACATAATACGCTATAAAACAGAATTGATAAATACGAAAATGTTGAGTTTGTACCGTAATTGGAATCCATAAACTAGAACCTGTCTATTGGTCAACACCAGCTTTGCAAACAAAGGAAACTACCATAAAGATAGGAAAAGTTAAATAATCCATTGAAGAAGAATAATTATACTTAGAAGACAAATTTAAGTTGAAATTTTAAAAGGTGCCTTTTGACATTTTCAAACTTTTCAACATTTTCGCAACCCATTGAAAATTAACTAGCGTCCTGAACTTTGGGAACCTTTGTATTAATAAGTCCTTCAGCGACGTAGGATAAATTTTACAATTAAGCATTGACATGATTACATCAATATCAAAATCTCAAATGAAACATATGTATGTCACGAAGACTGCACTATTTCTTATTATATTCAGGACTACTACGTGGTATTACTTTCGCCAATGGAACTGGATACCACAATGCGAATGATTTTACAGGTGCCCATCTGGGCACAAAGGGTAATTTATATTCAAGGCTCGTGTCTCAAAGACAACGATTTAACCAGGGCCAGGATGAACGAAGCAGAAGCTTGCTTTGTTCTTGCCGCCAGGAATTACGCGGACAAGACCGCCGCCGACGAACACACAATACTCAGGTAAGCTGAGTCCTGAAGGTTGTTAATACTTTTAATAAAAACGCATAACACCGTCGATATAGAAACATTTTAGTATAGTCAATACTAAATAATAGTAAAATTGTATAAACATCTTAATGTCTTCATATTGTAACACGTTTTCTGCATAACATAACACTGATGTTACATTAAAATTTGTTCATTTAAATAAAGAGTCAGTGTACTAGGGACCTTTTTCCTTATTTTTACTGTAACTTACGAATAAAAATACATCGATAGCAATTTTCGTAGGCACAGTAAGAAATCATGATATTAAGGGTTGAATGTGAAAAATTAAAAGCCTTGAGAACATGTTTTGTAAAGAATTTGTTATACTATAAATGACAGGTCATGGGCAGTAAAGGACTTCGCGCCAAACGTTCCTCAGTACGTTCAAATCTTCCGTCCGGAAAACAAGCTTCACGTAAAGTTCGCCGAGCACGTTGTTTGCGAAGATGAGTTCAAATATGCCCTCTTGGCGAACAACTGCACGTGTCCTGGTGCTTCGACGTTGGTTACTCTGTTGTTGCACACCTCCAGAGGACAGTGAGTTAAAAAAACATATGTTCGCAGTAAAGAAAATGAAAAGAACTTGGTAACAATGTACCCGATAAAATAATTTTGCTAACAGTTATTTTATAAAACGGATTGTCTCTGTTTTCTCAGAGAAGGACAACAATCGCAGGAGGAATGGCACAGACTGTATGGGAAATGTTCAGGCAACGAGATTTATCACATTATTCTAGGCGATTCTCGATTTTTCGGCGAGTACGAGGGGAAATCTTTCACCTACGCGTCCTTCCATAGTCACCGGAAATACGGGGTAGCGTTGGTCGCGGTTAGACCGGCGGAACTTCCGGAGTTTTACGAAGACACCATCCTCTTAAATCCTGGTAACAAGATTGAATTGTTTTAATAAACCAATGCCGCCATATAAGCGGCATAGGATTTTTACTTAGTGGGTTCAATGCCGCGTTTATGTCAGCAAAAATCATTTTATTATTTTTGTCACTGTTATTGTTGCAATATTTACAATTAACACGTTAAGTACTGTGCTAGGTCACCTCTGTAAATTTGTTTCTGCTTTTTATCTATGTTACGGTATTTTTTGGCGGTAAGTAAACTTGAAATACTTCCGGTCCGTTAAGGGTTAACACAACTATAAAATGAATAAAAACAACCCCTCCGAATTTCCTGTTATAATTATAGAAATTTCGATATTTGGATTTCAGTAATATTCAGCAAGTTGGTTTGAACAGTATTAAACAGTGTTAGGCTGAGAATGATGAAAAATATTTTTCTCTTGTACTTTACTTGTGTCGAATTTTGAATTCTCTATTAATGATAAAGATTTGTAGCGTTATTGTTCCGCGGGTCAACGATAGACATCGGTAAACTGACTGCGGATTAATTCGAAAATATCGGTTTCTATTGTGAGTTTAGCGTACGTTGAATAAGTATTTTCGTGAAATAAAGAGAACACAAACGCGTTGACCGAACGGAACGTTTCGTGAATAAAGCGCGAGTGTTAACGTCAAAACGCCATTGTTTCATGGCGCTATCACAACATTTGCATGTGACGTGCAGACAGCAGTTATTGTCATAATATGTGTTTACGCTACAATGGTTAAATTTGTCACCGACGTTCGCATTTGTCAAAAATATCATTTGAATATTGAATGTGCAAACTCGTACAGACATCGATGAAAGTGATTGCATCATTGGTGCACACGATTCACCTGTGCATCATAACAGATACACGAAATATAAAAAGATTGCTGTGAATCATAGCAGATACACAAACTATTACACACAAATGATTGACAATGTAAATCCTCTATTCTTCGAGTATTTACCTTTACTTCTCACGTCTGTGCCGACTACTAACAAGCTAAAAATGCACAAGGGCAAGGAGAAGGCGTCTATTCGCGAAATTCGCATCACTTCCGTCTTCGGTGCATGATATTGGTCGTGCGGCAGTAACAAAGGACAAAATCGAAGCTGAATACGATAGAGTGAGCTGTAACCATAGAGATCAAAATTCATAGTACGCATGTACTTCATTTTTTATCGTTGCATCTCACTTAAGTCCAGAAAACAAAAATTGGGAAAATTAATGTTTTGGCTTCTGAAATGATTATACAATATATTCAGAAGCTATAAAAAGAAGGGTTTTGAATCTCGTTTCCACCCTCTGCTGCTACCACGCGGCCAATAACGATTATCCGTCGAAAACTAAGAAGATCTGAACATCGTGAACAGAAAACTCTTCCTGTCCCTCTGACTTTTCAGTTTGTGGATAATCTGCCAACTTGTAGGATCTGCACTAAACCTTCTTACATCTGTTTAATTCCTTCTACGAAGGTCCGCGGCACATAATGAAGAAAACGGACACCTGCTACTACATGAGTATCACGAAAGAGGAAAACTCGGCGTTCGTGGTGGCGAACAACCAAGCCGTCACCGGCACGGAGGGTGCGCAGGTGGTGATAGAGACGAAAACCGACGGCACTGGAAACGCGAACAGCGGTCCGACCGGTAACGCGACTAGTAACAGCAACATGAATTCCGGGACTAGTGCCGGAACGACAACAACGACCACGACGATCTCGACCAGCTGCACGATCACCGGTGGTGATGGGAACGGTACAGCAAACAAACCCGCTGCCAACGAGCACGGTCGCTATTCCAACAGTTGTAACAATGCGCTGAACGAAACAGCTTGCAACAGGCAGGAGACGACCTGTACGGGGCCCCGTGGACAGAACGTGCACGGTACACAGGCTCACAGGGCCCCACAGGTTATTTTGCAGGTCCTCCCTAGCACGCCCACACCACTCGAACACCACAACATAATCGCATCCGATGTCCACCGTGAGTGTCGCATGCGCTTGCTTCTATTCTTTTATCCTTTTTTCATTACTTCCTTTCTCTTTTACTTTATTACTCTAGTTTTCTCGTCGCTGTTACTCGTGTCTGTGCGTTTTCTATCGTCCTCTACGTAGCTCTACGTATTACTCTTTATTCTTGAATCGAAGTTCGCGGTGAATTGTGGGACATGGGAATGATCTGTGCCGCGTTGACAATGGCGAAGCAATGGACATATGCTTGCTGCGAATATATGTGTTATCTGTGACAGAGTTGTAGTGTTTCTTCTGGACATCGAATCGTTTCTCTATTCTACTGTTGTCTTCTTCTTACTTATTGTATTATCTTCTTCTGAGAGCTTTTCGTGAATTCTGAAACGATTTCTCTCGTAAGATACGTTTGATTTGCTTCGTATTCTTTTCCACTGGCTATCTTCGCAAAGTCGGTATTGGTTTAAAGAATTTTGTATTTTATGTTGACATCAGTTGGTTATTCAATTCCATTTCGCTTTCCCAACCACAATATAATATGAAAGCAACTGCGAGAAAAATTGAGCTGGAGCAGAAAGAAAAAATAAAAAAAGAATTTCAATCAAGCTCAGGGTAATTGTTTTGTGATTTTTTCTATAAAGCTATAACTCTTCAGATACTGACAATTTTTCCTCGAAAATTTAGTGACGCTTTAGGTTTTTGCATCAATATAAAGTCCATTGCGAACTGCTAGACCGCGATTTGAAAGTTGTTAGTTTGAAAGCTGTTTTACACTTGCTTGTTACAACAGCTAGCGTTAACAACTACAATTTGGAAATATATTTAATCGCAATTTTTTAAACATTCAATGGATTTGAGTAACCATCGTTACTAAAGTTGTCTTCAATGTTATCAATCTCGTTTCAAATTAAAAGCAGATAATTCACAGAAATAGGAAGTTGTCAATGCCCTTGTGAAAATACTATAGAAATATCGATATTAAATTTGTTCTCATTATTACATCAGTCTACAATGATTAAATTACTTCGTCAACCATTAACTTGCAATGTCAGAAGCAAATATTCATGCAAATTCATATTATTGTAGAATTATTTACAGAAACAAAAATTAAATGAAAGTTAACTGTTTCTAATAAAAAGCATTTGGCAGGTAAAAGCTTCATTAAACTTCGTCAAAGTTTCCCCTTGATTACATTTTCCTCGATTATAAATGTTATAAGTCTATAATGTTGTTAATTTATTACATTATGTTTCTACGTAATTCAGTTTCGTCGAATTAATTTCAATTGAAAGTGCAATACAGAACGCTTGCAAATATTATACATCGTTTCTTGCATGTAAAATCGGTTGTTCTTGTACTATAATATCTAGAACAGTACAGTTGTAGGATATGAAAACGACAATACAGGAGACATACGTTAATAAGGGTACAAAAAGCATTATATCAGTAAATATTTGTAAATACATCTTGTGCCATAATGGGGTTAATAATATTGCAAATTAGCGATCAATTTTGTATACGTTAACTTTATCCATAGGAGAATCATAATACTTGTACAGTTGCTTTGGGATTACTTTTGGAACCAGTTTCGAACAATTTGAAATAGCACAAAAAGAAACAATTAAAACTATAACACTTAATTTTCTGTCACCATCGAACTGCGATAATAATAAATTTACTTATAATTAAAATAATAATCGTTTTCGTATATCAAATAAAATATAAGTGGCTTTCTATTCGAAAAAGTATTTCCTTAGTACATACAGTGTTTCCGTTATTATTCAGTATTTATTAGTATACGCATCGTTACTCGCTACGGCTTAATGAAATGCTTCTTTTTCATATATAGAGTGTTCTTTGTAGATCTATCAGTATAATTATGAATTGTGCAATTACTTTTTAAAAATTTGCATGACCGTTGTGCAGTTGTTCACACAAACAATTTTTAGGAAGGAGTACGATAGTTGATTCAAAACACTAAGGCACATTTCATAGCATATTTATTTTTGTACTGTGACATATGATGAAAAATGTGGAAACGCGAACAAGACAGATACGAGTACTCTGCAGTACATGGAAAAATATGCAATACAATATATCTTTTAAAAGTGCTCGCGTGTATATTAGCTGACATCTGATTATTGTCCACAGTTCATAGGTATACCCTATAATGATAATTAAACGATATTATTTCTTTTTCTATCGATACACTAGTATGTTTTATCTACCAAATTATATTAAACTCTTAGATATCATTCAGATATGTAATTCTGGATATTATTTTTGGTATAATTCGAAATTCGATTTATTTTGGAAATTACAATCTTCACATGAAATATATTTCGTTATAAAGGATCAGCTCACACGTACTTTTGCTGTCATCGTCATCGTACACTTTAGAATTTAATTACGGCTTTAACGTTTCTTCCAGTTAAAGAGCCATTTAGACTGATTGTTATTGAATGAATTAGTGCAGTATATATAACATATTTAAGCTTAAGTAGTTTTATTGAAAGAGGCACCTATATTTGCATCTATTTCTATTAGATGGGTAGAATAAAAATATGGATTTCTATCATTACGTATTTTTCGTTATTAGAGACGTAGAAAATTCTATAAAAAATACTTGTATGTCGCATAAGATACTTCCTAGAAAGGAATATTGTTTGATAATTCTTGATTGTGTCTTACGGCACAACTTGCTCATCATTTCAGTTATATTACGTTGATCCGAAAATTCTACACTAAATTTTTCAGTGCAGCACATATACTTAACATTGATATTATATCCAAAACTAATTTAAAAAAACAACAATTCAATTAGGGACGTTAATTTTTTATGTTCCAAAAAAGAAATGTCAGAATATTCGAATCAACCTCAGTAACCTAGATGATAATAAAGTAACGAATATTATGTGTATGTAATGAATAATGTTAATAGAATAATTTATCATATATTATAAGATGACGAAGATCAGAACGTCTTTCTCCTAAAATTTATTCCAGCAATGCGGAATTTATTGTTTATATGAAGTCATTACTTTAACATTTAGATAATAATTTTATTGCAATTTTTTTCAACAAATTGAAACATTTGCAGCCACATATCTAGATCCTGGGGGGTTCGGTGATTCACGGCAATGCCTGAAAGATGGAGGATCTACACCGCAGACTCCAATCACTGGAAATCATTTAGATGTGCCACGATCTCTCGATCCAAATCCTAATTTACTCAGCCCCGAGATTCTTACGCAAAGAAGAGGTAATAGAAACAAATGAAATCATTGAATTATTTTGGTAACTAACGTAGTGTATTATATAGTATATAATAATGATACTTTATGTACAAATAATTCTTGACATAACTATATTATAAATAGTATGATAAATGTATATAAATCAAAGTTTCTGATACAAAATTGAGACATGGTTACACAGTTATAACTTCAAATCTTTTACGAAATTGTAGAGTAGTCGAAATAAAATAATAATACAAACAATTAATAATAGAAAACAAATAGAAAAATAATATTCAATTTAGATTTGAAAGGATTAAATGTCAGTTATACTTGTTAAATTCTATTTGAAATCTTCTATTAATTCTTAAATCGTATTTGAAACCTTCTATTAATTCTTAGCTTCTATTTGAAATTTTCTAAATTCTTCTGCATGTCTATTCAATATCGAAAACAATGTTCAAATAAGTATTTGTATTCAAAACGCACTAGGAAGTAGACGGCCAAGCATACTACCCGTACCAGACATGTTAACAAGCTCCACATTGCACCTTCCTGGCCAAGAGTCGCTAGACCACGAAGGCGATGAGTCCGAGGATGAAATGGACGACGACGTTCCATGGAGATCGCCCAGTGAAAAGATCGCGTGAGTGTTCTGTAAATACAATGTCATTGTCATTTTTTATGTCATGTTACATTTAGGTTCATTTCTATCGCAACGAATCAAGGTATTCGATATATTTCTAACTGGGCACTAAATGTTTTCGCCATTAAGCATTCTGTCGAATTGTGACATCACAAGTGTTTCTTTTATAGAACGTTTGAAAATTCACATTTTACACTGTGAAATTTTTATATTATAGAAATTTCCTATCGATGATATTCAGTTTTTCCTTGAACTACAGTATTAAAAATTTAAAAACTACATAATTTTGCCACTTACAATGCTCCTCTACTTCCTTCATAAAGGTATTTCTCACACGAAATTTAAACGTTATATTGAAAATTACCCTATAAATAATTAATTAACGAACACTTTAGTGACGCCTACATTTTGCACTTAGACGGTTAAAGTGTTTGGTGTCCAGTGTAGTGTGCGTGTGTGCGTTGTATGAGTGGCATTATCGTCAGTGCAAGAAATAAGACCTTAACTTAGAAGAGTATAAACATTTATAGATACATTAAGTAGATGCGAAACTAAAATTCCTCTTTCCGACAGATAATTTTGATATATGTAATGACGCACGATCGTGAGATCCTTGAAAGTGAAACGATCTTGCACATTCTCGTGCACTTGCATGGCACGGTCTCTTATGCATCGGATGTATTTGTGTGAATTATTTATCGAATTTTCATTATACGAGCCATAAATCACGATACAAGTAAGGTGACGAAGATGGTATACCTGAAAATAAGTCTACACGATAGAATAAGTTTTTGTTGTGAACTATCATTTTCGAGGGAAATGAACTTGAAGATCAAACGAATAATATTTACTATACGAAATAGTGGCTAACGTACTGAATAGTATATTAAACATGCATGATGAATATAGTTGATATAGATTCCTACAGTTGGCAGGTAAGTAGATACTGATAGTAATAAAGCTCTCACATGTCATGTATATAAGCAACTATAGTTGCAGTTTCTACTGATATCAATTATACCAGACATTAAATAAGTATACGCGATTGATTTTTAAATAAGTTTTTCTCAAATCTGAAGCTTTCTGAGACAAAAAATTATTATACAATTCTGATATGATTGGCACGGAATAATTATGGTCTAACTTCCATATTTGAATTCTAAAATAGAGAAAAAAAAGCTTTTATGAAATATTTTTAAATCAATTAAATGATAGTATTACAAGTAATAATATTAATAATTAATGATCATTAATGTTTTTAACAACAATACTGTAATATTGGTATTCGATGAATTAATCTATAATAAATTAATACTTATTTAATGAACCCAAAAACATTTTACAAAAGCTTATTTTCCCGACAGCTCATAAATAGAAGTTAGACCATTATTATTCTGAGCCATTCATATTTTGGGCAACTTTCTTTGCACTACTTGTTTCACGATTTATGACCAACTGTGTACCTATACTACGATCGTTGGTATTAATATTGGAAAGAAAATATTGGTTTTCTTGTCGTTTCAAATGTGTTTATAAAATTTCCTCTTTTTGTACTTTCATTATTACTTACTATATTTTATTACTATATCTGTATACACATACACATTGGAATTATTTGATTTGCTAAGAATTTACTACAACCATTTGTAAGGAAAGAATAAAATTTCATTTTGTGCCAGAAGTATTGAATTTTATGTTACAAGAACTGCTAGTATTTTCTTATCCAATTTTTAAAAGATATACTACAAGATCGTACAACTGATCGTTTATTCGTAAAAGTACTATAAGGATATTTAATCCTAGAAATGAAATTTTACAGCTGTGCTGCGAGAACTGTGCACCATGCTCGTCTAATTTCTCCACACTTTTCTTAGATGTTATTCCTTATGACTGTGTATTAGATGTGTCTCAATTATCCTGCAAATATGAACGGAAGCCCATTTTTTATATATTTTTTTAGATTGGATGATATTCGTTTTAAACTATTCATCTTATTTTATTTAATTCTTTTTAATATTTTTTATAATTATAATAAATACGAAGAAGTGAATAACATTGAATCAGAAAATTTGATCGAAACCAAAGATCTCATATTATGTCCAACATAATGAGATTCATAATAAAAAGCATAGAATTTTATTCGTTTTCAAAAACTAACTCGTAATAAAAATTTATATAAACATTCAAAGTACAACATGTCAATCTAATTTCTCTCAAAATCAGATATGACTGCATCTTCTTCTGTTTTTCCAAAACAAAAGAAAAATCTCCGATTGCATGGACAAAAATCTCAATCTTGCCAATTAACACGTTGACCGCCCAATTATTATTCATCAAACTACTCATGCAATCGAAGCAACTTTCCTAAGGAAACAGAGACTAGAAAGTCAACGTTTCCCACAGAGATTGCTCTCTCAACCTTCTTCTTCCATCAAAATTTACTTATTTCACGTGTTACCGAGCAAATTCATTTCCGACTCTATAGGAAAAGTCGTGCCAGCCATGAACGGACGACGTGGCGGTCAACGTGTCAAGTAATAAAACTCGTTTTTCCGTCGCGTTCAATTCGGAATTCGTAATCGGTCGAGAAGTTCTCTCTAGAATGAAAGTACAACGTGGAATTCCAATTTGTATGCGTTTCGGGTAACGTCGAGTGGTTGAAAAGTTCGTATGTCATGGTAACAAGAGACAGACAGGGCGAGAAAAAGGGTAAAAAATTTTGAGCGGAGGATCGATGCCGCCACTTGTCCGTCATTCACCGCCCAAAATACAATTAAACGCAAGTTTACGTTGATCGTCGATCTGTCCTGTCTGAATGTCTCTCGATGCCTGTACCGCTACTCGGCGTCGATGGTATTGAATCGCTGCTCGATGCTGTCCTGCCTGACACCCTCTATGTCCTCATGGATGTTTTCGATGTCTTCCCCCCTGCATCGTCTTTATGCACTGCCGTCTTGACGCACGACCTTTGCCCAGCAGTTTCAAGGGGTGAGTTTACGTTTTTATGCTTCCATACGATCTATCCTTTTCGTTCGTCATTCGCAGGGGAACATTCAGAACACTGATTCGCTTTGGAAAAATGCTAGTCTGTGAACCGTGACGCGCTACTAATCTAGGGGAATAAACTCGGACACTTAACCCACTCGCTACCAGCATTTGTCTTAATAGCAGTCTCCACGGTTACAATACTTTTATTAACCGCCCCGACACTTTGTATTAGGTTGTCCCATAAGTTCGTGCCGTTTACTTTTCTACCATATAAAATAATATTTTGTTAAATATAAGATTTTTATAACTTCACGAGCTGTCAGTGTAGGATTCCTTCTACTGACTAAACTGAAGCAGTTGAAACTCTTGTTGCTCTATGATTACAAAATGTAACGCGAGAAGTATTACGCGCTGCGACACGAACTTATAGAACGACCTAATGTGCACTTATTCCTATCGTAAACGGTCAAATAACTAGCTACAAAAGAAAGATACGCAAGTTAGATGATACATTTTTCTGCGTGGAAACAAAAACGATAGGAAGACGAAAATTGAAAAACTGATTAATCTAACAATATAGGAATTGATATAAAGTTGAATGAAAGAGGAACAACGTAGAATTTTTAACCAATTTTTAAAACGATGGTTTTGCCATTAGTTCTGCAGAGGTTAGTGTTATAAAACATATGGTCTAAACAAACTGGAAATAATATTTAAGAAAAAATATCTCCTCGGCTTCCTGGCCACTGTACTACGAATTAGAATATTAGATACATGCAAATGAAATTTACTCTACTATGCACAAAATATGAAGTATTGAGGGTTAGATATGTGTGACGTTGGTAGCGAACGTGTTAACCCTTGGACTATCAACGGAACAATACATCCCAGAGCGTAATTAAACGTTCCATTTGGGCAAATAAGCTACTTAAATTGCAATTTTGTCCATCCTAATAGTAGTATGGGGTATATTTTATGAAATAGATTACTTGTTCGATTTAAAAGTGTTGATTATTCATTTGAGAGTTTTGTTGCAATCTACGTCTGGTTATTCATTTCAACTTCATTGTCGTCCTAAAGTGCAACAAAAAATGAGTTGGTAGTCTAAGGGTTAACGTATGATTTTACCTCCCTTATAAATAAACTGCAGTTGTTTATACAATTTTAGGAAATACATTTCTGGCAGTCGAATTAAATAGAAATTAATTATCTTTACAACAAATTGTCATTAACTCACAGTAATCTAATTTCCATAATGTTATATTTAGCACTGTCAAAAATGCTATCGATGTATAAACATCTACGGTTTAGTTATGGTGCATTATTCGTTGACTTAATAGGATTGATTTATAATTAATATATGTAAATGGAAAGCGTAACTATACAAAGTATTCTATAATTAATAACATAATCGTAAATAATATGACTTTATATGAAAAAATAAGGCAAAATCACAGAATAAATTTGATTCATTTGATGTTTCTTTTTCGAAGGTATCAAGTGTGAAAATTTATTGACCGGATTCTGTAGCAAACGAGGTCTCAAATAACAAAATTTTATTTATGGTTCTATATTTATCTTTTTATGTCGAGTATTTTCACAAAAATAAAATAGTAACAAATTTTCAACACTAGTTTTTTCGAGAAGATAACCTTTTACGGAAAAATTTGATTCTATACGTTCAGCTTATATTTTAGTATAAAATATTTTAAAAAAGTGAAACTGAAAAACAAATAGAGTTAATAATTAAATGCAAATTACTTTACATAAGAACTTTAAAAAAGTGAACGTATTTTACGGATTTTTTGGTGAAACAACATTTTATCAATCTTTTTACTCTTCGAAACATAAACAT